CGCAGGAGCATGCTTGCTTTTGGCTGGGGAGAGGAGGCCCGGGTCTTCCCCCTGCGAGCCGAGGAGTCTGCCTGCAGGTGATGGCTTCCAGCAGACTGGTGTTTCATCTTCTCACCTTCTTGGTTTTAGCATTCCGAAATCCGTGTACAGTCCGTCCTTCCTTTCCCCACGCCCGCCTTCCCCAGCCTGCGCTCTCTTCTCACACCTGAGGAACAGGGTAAGATGCACAGGCAGCAAGGCCACACATGTTCTTGCCACGTTCAATGAGGAAATACCTAAAAAGAGAAAGAAATGTGTAAGAGTGAGTGTTCCCTTCTCCGGCAGAGCCGGCACGACGGGCGCAGGCATACGGCAAGTGCTCTCGTCACGTGCAAGCTCCTTTCTCGTGCCAGCACACGGAGCAGTGCCTGTGCCAGAGCCGTGACTGCCAGCAGTGAGCCAGGCAGTGCTGCTCCCCCTGAAATCACAAACTAGCAGAGTTTTAGAGCCCGACTCTGAAAAACGTCACTTGGAGCTGGAAATACTCGCGGAGCTGGAGTGAAAACTCACTCCCGGCACAACCCGTTCTCCTCTGGCCGTGTAACCACAGCAGAGGCACGGTGCTGTTCTGGCACCAGGTGAGCCAGCGGTACGGCAGCCCTGCATGCACTGGCCGGGCCCCTGGTGACCACGGCAGGTCTGCTGATGTAAGGGTCTGCTCCAACCAGTCACCCCAGCACTGGTTTGTAGAGGCTGGAGTGAAAACTCACTCCCGGCACAACCCGTTCTCCTCTGGCCGTGTAACCACAGCAGAGGCACGGTGCTGTTCTGGCACCAGGTGAGCCAGCGGTACGGCAGCCCTGCATGCACTGGCCGGGCCCCTGGTGACCACGGCAGGTCTGCTGATGTAAGGGTCTGCTCCAACCAGTCACCCCAGCACTGGTTTGTAGAGCCAGGCTCCCGAGGCTGGGATGGTTTCCCCTGCCTCTTCCCAAGAGCATGGAACAGCTGTGAAATTCCAGCCTCAGAGCCTAAGGGCGAGCTGGAGGCTGAGGAGGGTGGGTGCCATCCCACGCATGGCACTGTCCTTACACCAGGTACAGGGAGACTGTGGCGGGTCCGGTAGCGCCGGGACCTCCTTACCCATCCATGCCCCACCGTGGGCCCCAGGAGTTCTTCACAATCCAGTAAGGGGTCCCATTTTCTTCTCCGTACCCCACAGCAAGGACAGCATGGTTCACCTTGTCAGGAGTGTGCTCACATCGGGGGCTGCAGGGAAAAGGAAAAACAATGAAGATTTGTTACAGGAAAACCAGCCTGTAATTAATCACGGATTAGTCGGCATTCTTGATTGCACTCCAGCTGCAAAAAAAACGAAAGGATACTCTGAACTTCCAGTTGTGGAGAGTAGGGAAGGAAGCCAAGAAAAGAAGGCACTGCTGTTTTCTCGCTCAGGAGTCCCCCCCAGCCACATCCGAGGCCGCGGTGACAGGCTACACGGACTTTGATCCGAGCACCTGGTCCAGCCTTTTGTTCAGAATTAACATCAACATCGTCACACAAGAACGAACTGCTATGAAAAAACTGAGCAAAGGAATTTTTCCAATGAAAATCAGAAGCTCTTCGTGCATCCCTGCAATGGTGTGTTCTGCCTCGAAGTTCAGGGGCACTGTTCCGTGCTTTGCACAGGGAACAGCTAATTCCTCAGTCTCAATACACATTTCCTTGTATTTCCCCTGAATTTCCAGCTTTTAAATTGCACTGGATGGAAGTTGCTGCCTGTGATGCAAAACAGGGCAACACAAGGTACAAGCTCCCAGCTCCAGAGCACCTAGTTTTAAACATTTTCAAATTGCAGGTAACCAAAAGGTCAATAATCCCCACGACAGATTTACTTGTCTGGGGAGCAGAGGCCGAAACCACTGGTGGATCGATTATTCCACACGCTCTGACTTTAAATCTACCTTAGACTATAACTGTACAAGACAACTCGGCATGTTCCTCAAACTGGAATGCTCGTACGAAGTATCCTGACTGTCTCCCCTGCTTTCACACCTTCCATCTGCCTGTTGCTTGCTTTAAACTCAAGATTTCTGTCTTTATTGCAACAGCA